TCAGAATTGACTCGTTAGCAATATAACTATATATTTTTTGCTTTTCTTTGATGATCATGCCAGGTCACCCCTCTGTCACTGTCTTTTACTGTTGGCTCTTGACACTGTGTCTACATGGAATTAGACATGGGGGTGATGATGCACAATGAAACTCTTTTGTTGTTTTTTTGCCATCAGTTTCAACCCTTCTTGCCTCTTCATTAAGCCACACCTTTCCTACAGCTTCTGGGCTGTGAGTCAGCCTGTTGGTCTGTTGCACATAATTCACAGCAGGGCAGGAGGGAGAACAGTGGGCTAGCGGGGGCAGAAAGTACACTGAGGTCTAAAAGGAGAGGCAGTTGAAGTTTGTTTTTCCTCTTCTCTTGTGAATTCAAACAAAAATCTTGCCAACTTCCTTGTCATTGTGGGAAGATTGGAGAGCCGGGGGATGGACCAAGAAACGAAAACCTTGCCACCAACTTTTCTTTTTTAATTAATTACATTAAATTTTAAAGTTTTAATGGTGGTTAAAAGAAAAATAAGCACAGCAACTATAGCCGTTGGTCACCCTTCAGGCCTGGAACTGAGTTCACCCCCCATGTTAGACTCAGTAATGTTGATTATAGCAGTCACATCATGCAGCCATTGTCATTGTCATTTTCCTCATCAAACGTATTGAACCACCTCTAATATAAGCTGCCTAAACCTAAGCCACAGCATCAAGTCCATTGTGACTCCTAGACACCCTATGTAGAGTTTCTGACACTGTAAATCACTAAGGAAGCAGACAGTTTCATCTTCCTTCCTAGGAGCCGCCAGGGGATTTGAACAGCTGACCTTGTGGTTATCACCCCAATACTTACTCAACAATGCCACCAGGGCTCCTAAAGCCCCGTGACTAATATCATGTTGATTCTGACTCACAGCAACTCTATGGGAAGAGTAGAATTGGCCCTGTGAGTTTCTAAGACTGTGTTTCTTTATGGGAGTAGGAAGTCTCATCTTTCTCCCAAGCAGCAACTGGTGGTTTCAAACTGCTGACCTTGCTAGTAGTAGCCCAACTCATAACCCACAAAGTCACCAGAGCTCCTTCTTAGGGCCTACAACACCAGTATTCCCAGGAGGTCACCCCTCCAAGTACTAACCAGGCTGGACCCTGCTTAGCTTCCTAGATCAGAAGAGACCAGGCACATCGGGATAGAATAATGATAGATAGAAAGCCACTGCCACTCACAGCGACCTAATAAATGAACTCAGTGCCCTGTAAACAACAACTTACCTTCCCCTCCCTCCTCTCACCCTTGATAACCAGCTACTAAATAAGCTTATGTTTATTTATACGTGAGGTAATGATCCTTTTCTGATTGACTTATTTCACTCAGCCCAATATTTCCGCGGTTCATCTATGTAATGGCAC